ATATTTCTTTCACTTCCAGGCTAAAGCAGTATTGTTTAGTGAACACTACTAAAAAGTTGTTTTTTCTTATTTTAGGTTATGGAATCATTGAATCAGAATAATTCAGGTTACAGGAGACCTTAAAAAGTCATTTCAACCTCCTGCTCAAAGCTAGATTCACTATGAGGCCAGACCAAGTTGCTCAAGGTTTTATCCAAGGAGGTCCTGAAAATCTCCAAAAAAGAAGCATCCCACCTCTTTGAATACCTTGTCCACTGCTTGACTGCCCTCATGAGGAAAAATCTTTTCTTTTTATCCAGCCCAAACTTCTGGCTTCACTTTAGGTGCATTGCCCCTCATTCTCACACCACACTACCAGGAAATCCTGGCTCCATTTTTCTTACAAGCTACTCATAATCACAGTCAGGCTGCTACTAGGTTTCCCCTAGAGACACCTCTTGCCAGGCCAAACAAGCCGAGCTCCCTCATCTCCTGCCCCAAGACAAATTCCTCAGCTCCCTGAGTATTTTGACAGCTCTCTGCTGAATTTTCACCATTTAGCTCTATTGTCCTTATATTTGAAGTATGCAAGGTAGATGCAGATGTGTTCTGATGAATGCTGAATCCCTTAATCTCCTGGGTGGGCTGTTAATACAGTCCAGGAAACTGCTGACAGTATTTGCTGCGAGGTCACACTGCTGGTTTATGTTCAGCTTTTTGCACCCTACAGGCTTCCCAGGCTGTGCTCAGCAGTGCTGCTTCCCAGCCAGCTGGTACCAGTCCATATCCCTGGGAAATCAAAAGTATAGAGCAATGTAGGTCAGACCTCTGGAGGTCATCCAATCAAACTCATTCTCAAAAGCAGAGGTAACCTTAAGCTTAGATGAAGTGGCATCCATTATCTAAACCTGAAACTCACAAATTACATACATAAAACAATCCAGACAGTTTTAAATTCTATATCTAATTAAGTCCTTACAACACTATCATTACTATTCTTATTTTCCAAGCATGTCATGACCAATTAGAGCTGGTACTATAAAAAGATAAAGAGACAACAGCTGCAAAAAATAATCAAAGTACTCAAAAATAATTATTTAATAATTGCAAGAACAGGGAAAGTGAAGGATTTTAGTGAAACATGTATTAGAATGAGTACCAGACTCAGGCTCACTTCTGTTGCATTGGGAAGCAAATGCAAATTTAAGACTGCTTTTGAGCACAATCATAAATATAATATTCAGAGCATAAAAATGATGGCCTGGAAGTGACCACAGCAACAATAATCATCCAGACTCCTCTCCCAGGCTCAGCCTGTTTTATAGTGAAGCCACGCATGCCTCCTAAAGCTCTGGGAAGTCTACCCAAGTCACTATTAACACATGACTCCACAGGAGCAGGCTGCGAGAGAGGCAGAAAATGCAGAGATGAGCAGTCCTTGTCCCCACAGCAGAACTCTACAGTGGGATGTTGCAAAGCACAGAAATTGGGTTCTCAGTACCTTGTCACTAACCCCCACATGTGGCCACCTTCTATCGTTGCCTTGACTGAGGAGGTGAGGGGCTGCCCCATTCACTCACTCACACACCTTCTTACACCTTGTCTTGCAGAATCAGAGTTGCATTTCCCTCAGCAGGAAATATAACAGGCACTTTCAATTGTTTTCTAGTACTATAAAATATGATCTGCTAGCAAACGTGTGTAAGGGCTATGACTAGGAACATAATTTAGCATTTGAATTTGAGATTCCCTATCATACGTAGGCTTTTACCAGCCAGATTGTTTTTTCAGCCATATAAACTTAAGATAAACGTCTGATTTTAGATACTTTTCTATGTAAAGTAAAAAAAAGTTTTTCTGTTCTTAAAAGAAAAAAAAATCATTTTACAAATCAGGGTTTTTTTATCTTTCACTGAAACTGCTTGGATAATACTATAGTGCAGAAGGAAATTACATAAGAATCTGAATCTTGCAACAGAAATCTAAGAGTGAGTTTTAGAAACTAAGTATTTATTTACTTAAAATTTAAGTTACTTATAATAATAAGAACAGAAATATTTCCATATTATTATTATTGGTGTTGTACACTTATGGTTAGTAGAGTATTATAAAACTAGGATCTAATTGTAGCATACTGGTTCTGTAAAGGAGCTATATACAACAAATACACAAGTTTTTCCTATAAAAGAGTAAGGTATCTGTTCACTGCCTTTTAAGTGTCTTCTGTTCACATTTTGTTCTCCACTAAAAATAAACTAAAGAGAACATATACCGCACATAAGATCTGGCAATATTTATGTATCTGCTACCATCTGCTGACAAATAACATTATTGACTTTATCTTAGTCAATCTTAAAGAAACAACTCATATTTCCCTATAGGAAAGTTTCCACTGATGCTACAGTGGCTGACAGTAAAAGCTACATGAATTTTTGGTTCAGCATGTTGCAGTAAGCCAATAATTTCTTATCCACCCATCTTGTCTGCATAACAGATTTACCACTCACCAGCATATTCCACTCATATAGCAGTGACTGCATACTGCATTCATTGAAGCCCTTCAGCTATTGCATAGTTCCTGAAGTCAATTACTGAGCAATTGTCGCAGCCCATGTTTATTTTAATAGTTTTATTGTTAATAGCTTATTCCTATGTTCCCCCCCACAGTTGATTAGCCCTTAAGTTGTATCCTCCCCTATGCTGCCCATCACTGTAACCAACCCCTTGTTCCAGTGCCTCCCCTGTCCATCATTGGAACCCTGCCCCTTGTTCTGGACCCTTCCCTGTCAATCCCCTGTTAGCCCAGCCCCCTACAATAAATCCCCTTTGGAAATCCCATATTCCTCAAAGCCCATTGGTCCATGTGACCTTTCCTCTCCTCCCCCTTATCCTCACTGGTTCCCATACTGTAAACCCCACCTCATGCTCCTCCCCTGTATGTTATTGATTGGTTAAAATTTTTACCCACCCCCTGAAACTCCCCTGTATTTAACCCTGTGCACAGCAGTATTCAGGGTTCTTCTGACCCTGGTCCCTTCAGCCTCAAAGACTCTTCCCTCTGGGAAGCTCCTACGAAGAGCCTCCTCCTTACTCCTTCACTCAATCCCTGACATCGGTTAGCGATCCTGCACCACAGAGCAAGAGGCTCTAAAGGTTCTGCCTGTGGTATATCCTACACTGAGGCAGTTCCCACACCTGGCACAGTGCCAGTGTGTCCTTTGAGCTAGCCTAGGCTCTGCTGAGCTGCATCAAGCAATTACATGAAACTCATTCCTCATTTACAAAATAAAAAAAAACATTTAATTTATTACTAGCTGTAAAACTTTCTAAACAAGTCACAGAATGGGTCAGGTTGGAACAGACCACAGTAGGTTACCTGGTCCAACCACCCCACTCAAGCTGTGTTATCCTACAGTACACAGCACACTGCACAGGATTGTGTCCAGCTGGTTCTTGAATATTCCCCAGGGATGGGGACTCCACAGCCTCTCTGTTACGGTGCTTGGCTACCCGCGCAGTAAAGTTCTTCTGCATGTTAAGGTGGAACTTCTGTGCATCAGTTTCTGCCCATTGCCTTCTCTATTGCTGGGCACCACAGAGCAGATCCTGGCATCTCCCTTCAGATACCGACAGACATTGATGAGGTCCCCTCTCAGTCACCTCTTCTGGAGACTGAACAGGCCCAGCTCCCTCAGCCTTTCCACATAAGAGAGATGTTCCAGTCCCTTAATCATCTTTGTAGCCCTCCTTTGGATGAGCTCCAGATGTTCCATATCTCTCCTGTCCTAAGGTTCCAGTCTTGTTTTCCAATCTACAATGTGGGATAAAAATATCTTTTCTCCCCTAATCTTAATTTTAAGGCAATAATGGTAGTAGAAATGATCACCTTTCTATCACCTTAATTTTATAAGACTTCAAGTGAAAGCCTTGACTAGCCTCCAGATACTATTCTTGTTGAGAAAAAGACTAACATAAACTTAAAGAAAAAAAACCCTAAAAATAATAATTAAAAAAATCCTGTTTCAGGTATCTCATATTAAATTGCAAAAGTGTGACAGTGGAGAGAGACCAGGACACACTGATGACCTGTATCTGCCTATATAGTAAACTTAAATTAAAAGAGTATCTGTAATATTTACTTATACATGCACTTCAAAACATTTGGGGAAAAAAAGACCAAAGATTCACATCTGATAGGCTAAAATGTCAGGAAATAAATAAATACATTAATTAAAGTAGGAAGTAGTGGTATATACTAAAATACTGTTTGTTCAACAAATCTAATACTTTAGATTAGATTTGGTTTTGTTGTTGAGAATCTAAGTTTGAAATGCTCGTTAAGTAGTGAGTTTTAAAATTAGTCAGTTCTTTCAGACGTAGACGCATTTAGCAAATGGAGTTATAAACAAGGGGTTTAACCTGGGTCTTGTTCCCTTTCCATTGTAATATTTTAATTATTTTTCATCTTCCAAAGCTAAAAAATGTGTCCTTGAGCTCTGCTGTAGGGGCAAGGAACAGGAGGTGGCCCTGCTACCTGCCCCTTAAGGTGGATGAGGGTCACGGTGGGCATTACTTGGAAAGAAAAGTTTTTCATTTCACTTAAGTTCCTGCCTGGAAAGCTCAACTGTGTTTGTTTTCAAAGAACTTCCAGCTGGGCTTTAAGTTTTTTTTCCTGCACTTCATCGCTAAAGCCAACCCTGGGTGTTGCTGAGAGACCAAAAGCCAACACCAATGCTGGGCCACCGACCCACAGCCGAGTCCAGCGGGACCGCACAGAGCAGATCGTGACACTGGCGGCCTCCCGACGTCAAAAGCTGGAAACGCGACCAGAGCTCCTTCCCCGGTCCGGACAGCCAGAGCTACTTCTGTCGGCCACCCTCAGGAGAAGGAGCCACCTCAGCCCGCCCTCGAAACCACGGTCCCTTCGCCGTGGGGAATGCGGTCCCGCCTAGGGCCCCGCCGCCCCTTTCCCGCCACGGCCCCGCAGGGGAAGCTGCGGCCACCCGAGTCTCGCGAGAACCGGCGCTGCCGCCGCCGCCGCCATGGAGCCGCCGGTGCGCGGCCCGCCGGGGCTGTCGGCCGTGCTGGCGGTGAGGGGGAGCGGGGCCGCCCGGGGGAGCGGGGCTGTCCGGCGGGGATGGGGGAGGCTCTTGCTCGGGGCGCGCTCCTTGCCGAGCTTGGTGCGGGGGCGCGGTCCGTGACAGGGAGCGGCCGCGTTCGGTCGCTTTGGCCGCCTGGCGACGCCCCTTCTCCCGCCGCTGCCTGACCCGCTTTCCCTCTGCCTGCAGAGCACGGACTGGTCCGAGCCCTGGCTGCTGGGACTGGCGGCCTTCCACCTGCTCTGCTTCCTCCTGACGTGCGCGTCCCTGCAGCACCGCCGGGTGCAGGTCGGGCACTTCCTCTGCATGGGTGAGTGCGCGGGCGCACCGTGTGGTGCCGGGCGCCAAAGCAGTGCCTGCAACTTAGTAGTTCTCCGCTAGCACTGCATGTTTGTCCATGATAGTCCGCGACAGAATCTGCTGTGACCTATAAATATGTGCTTATTTTATTTCCAAGAAAATGTATGAAGTAGTGACTTAAAACTCTGGCCTTAGTGAGGAAGTGGGATGAGTAAAGTTACTGCATGGTCATTGCCGTGTATGTCACGGATTCCCGATGAAGTGTTGCTGTGCTGGGGAAGCAGAAGAGAAATCGACTGAGAGCCAGCAGTTGCTTTGTAGTCTGCCTTGTTCTAATAGTGCGGGTCAGTCAATACAGTCAGCTTCTGTTTCTGAAGCAAGTTCACCATATGGCCTGCTGACAAACGTGATAATGGCATGAGGAAGAGCAGGACTGGCTTGTACGTTGCAGTAACAGCTTGAGTTATCTCGGGGTTTATTCAGCCTGAGAGTCCCCAGTGACCTTTGCCTAGCCAAAGTACTCATGGCTGACAGGCAGAACAGAAATTAGCTTCGGTTTAAGATCATATGGATTTGGATTAGATGATGTATTACGAGCAGTTTATTTTTAAAGAAATACGGAATCTAATATTTTTCTTTTATTGTATAGTGGCCTTAGTGTATTGTGCTGAATATATCAATGAATTAGCAGCCATGAATTGGAGGTAAATGTTTTCACTTTCATCTCTAAAATAAAATAACCATACATCGTAGTTATAGTATACTTATAAGAAATAATAATAATAGCATGCATTTATTGTACTGCTTAAAATCTGATTATATGGATGCTTGTAAACTAACTCATCAAAGAACTGAGAAAAGCAGAGTGCTGTGTTAAGGGGAAAAAGTGTGAAGTTTGGTTTGGTTTTGTTTTTTGTTTTTTGGTGGGGTTTTTTATTTGTTTTGGGGTTTTTTGTTTGTTTTGGGTTTTTTTGTTTTCTTTGGTGTTCATGTTTAATAGCTGAAGTTAAGAACCACTTCTCAGAAATACCTCTGCTGCTTTATATACTTACTTATTTGTGTAACAAGCATTAACATTAGCCTGTTTTACTACACGTGTATACCAGAATTAAACTGATGGTTTATTATGATATTTTGAGCATTGAATTAATCTTTCCCTGATATGACTGAAAGTTATGTGTCTAACCCCTATTCATGTTGGCATCTGTAGTCATTATGTTTCACTTCAGGCATATATGACCTAATTGCAGCTTTGCTACATTTATTATTTTTGTTATCTTTTCTAATATAAGTAAAGAAAAGACCTAAAGTAATTTCAGATGCTTCAGAATAAGCATGATTTGTATAATAATCATAACTGAAGAGGTATCAACTGCCTCTTTTTTCTGATTTAATACAGTAGAATGCTGGTCTATGCTTGGTGATCCCAAGATGTGGGATGTGTACAGTGTCCATGTAGAATAGTTGCTGGGAAAGTTGAATGTGTGAACTACACTAAATAAAACTTTGTCTCTCCTTTTCTTTTTATTTCTTTCAGGCTGTTTTCTAAATACCAATACTTTGATTCAAGAGGAATGTTTATTTCACTTGTATTTTCAGCACCACTGCTGGTGAATACTACTATAATTGTGGTATGTATGTGTTCGTTCATGTAGATGCTTTCATTAAATGAATAAGTGAAGGTATATGGACTAGTTGAACTTAATAATTTACTTACTTTTCAGGTCAGCTGGGTTTACAGAACTTTGAATGTAATGACTGAACTAAAGATGCTACAGCAGAGAAGGAAAGCAGAAAAAGAGAAAAAGAAGTGAAAACGCCAAACCCTATTTTTGTTTCTTCAGTTGTAATAACGCCTGTCTGGGTAATCAGTCCTTCTGTATGGGTATGCAGGAACAGAAGTATTTTTGTGTACGATGTCAAGAGGACTTTGTAATTGTGGCTGTGGACACTGAGGTGGAAGCAGGTGTCTACAGTACATTTAAATTGGCTGTGAAATTATGAAACCCAGTCTTAACAAGTCTTTGTGCCCTTCAGTATAAGATAGTTTTCCTCCATGAACCAAGGCTGTTAGTATTGAAGAGATGCAATCTTCCAGTTTCCACTTGCCTGTGTATTTTTTTACTATGTCTTTATTCTGTGCTTATCAAGAATCAGTTATTCTGCTGCTTAAGCCAATTGGAGCTGTGTTGTGAATTACAGTAAATGAGAGATTTTATTCAGAATAACTCAGGAATCCATGCTTCTGTGAAGCACTTCACTTCTTTATAAATCAAGTTTCATACTTCCTATGTGTACTGTGTGCCAGTGGCATTTTATAAATAAAACTGTGCACTCACTGTATCTTAAATTGAGTTAATTTGTATTCATTTTTAATCAGACTTTTTCCTTCTTTTTTTTCTCATAAAAATTCACAGTTTGGCAAATTTCCCAGTTTAATTTGTGTAAATAATTCAAAATTATCTCTGCATTTCTTTCAATTTGTACTTCATGTTCTTAAGGCTTCTAGATAAATACATTTTTTTTAAAACTGGGTGAATATTTAGTAGTTTTATGTTTCTTTGCAGAACAGAAAGGAAGAGAAGAAACTTAGTATTATTATACGAAATTTTGTCCCCTTTATAATGTTGGTTTTTTTAATACTTGAAAACTAAAAATAGGTAAAAATGAAGAAGGCCTTAGTTTTGCTTCAAGTGGCGTGTTTATATTGAATTAAAGTAGTTTGAGAGGGGGTGTGGATATGGTGGAGACTGTCTATATTTAGTAGAAGTTGTACCATTGTGTGGAGATGTACAGTTCTGTCTAAAATAGATGTCATTTAAGACATAGGAAAGATGATCTATAAAACTGATCTTATAATGTGAAAAACATTGGGGTACAAAATTGCAGAACACTTGTAAGTTTATAACCTAAGGAGATACTTGTGAAACTAATTTTAATTACTTAATAGTCTTCACAGAGTGGAGATAGACTTGAGGAAGATAGCAGATGTATGTCATACACAGTTTGCAAGTCTCCTGAACAGGGGGAAAGTGAAACTCTGCGGGAAGGGCAGTGAAGCGTTAGCATTGGATCCATTTCTTTACCTTTCCTGTAACTCTTTGGCATTCCTTCACCCACTCACTGCTCCACCCAGAACTACTGGCAGCTAGACTATTTTATGTTAGCAAACTAAATAGATGCAGGTTTGTGTGTTGTCCCATTTTGGAGCATTCTGTTGTGACTCTTGGTGCAGTGTTGGGTCATGTCAACTATACGGAGAAATCTCAAGTGGTCTGGTCGATAACGTGTGCTTTTTGGGAAGGAGTGAAGAGAATCTGTCCAAATGACTGCCAGGTGGCAGCTGTCACCAGAACCAAACAACAGACCTTTCTGATTTCATATACATAGGGTGTTGTCCTTCTAGGCTAGTTTATAAAACTTCAGCCTTGCTTCTACAGTTTGATGGGGAGAGTTGCAATCTTCACACATGGCCCTAAGCAAATGTGCTCCTGACTTTCCTGTTGATAACTTCTGCAACAAATCAGTACACATTTGTTTTAGTGTCACAACTCTTGAAGCTGTAATACTTAATGTGGAGATACCACCTTTATCAAGTAACCTTTGGTTTTACAGTGTGAAGTGTATGAATTTGATTCACAGTAAGTGAGGAGGTTCAGAGCAGCTGAGCAACAAGTCTCTTGCAGTGGAAAACAGCGTGCCTTATTTAGTACATCCAAGGCAAACTTTCTCCAAGTAGTTTGGTATTTTGCCTGTCTTGTGTGTGAGGTTGGAAAAAGAGATGCATAATACTTGATTTAGAAAGCATGATGGCATTTTTTTGGTCTTCTAAATGTATTGCTGTGTGAAAGCGTAAACAGCTCCAAATTCAAAAACAGTATTTTTTTGAAGGATGAACATCTGAATATCGTGAGTTTAAAACCTTCCCTGACTCCTGGAACTACAGTAAGTAAATCTTAACAGTTACATGAGATAAATTTATACAAACACAAAAACGTGGTTTCCATATATTGTAAAAACTCATGGGTTAAAAGAGACCTTGAAGATCATCTAGTTTGGACCCACCAGCCATGGTCAAGGATTCCACCCACTGGACTGGGTAGCTCAAGACTCAATCCTATATGGCCTTGAACACTTACAGGGTGTGGCATCCTCAGCTCTGGGCAGCCAGCGCCCCACCATTTTGTGAGTGAAGACTTTCCTCCTAACAACTGATCTAAACCTGCCCTCTTGTAGTTGAAAGTTGATCCGCTTTGTCCTGTCACTACATGTCCTTATAGAAAATTGCTCTCCCTCTTTTTTGTAAGCACCCTTAAATACTGAAAAGTTGCAAGCATGTCTCCTTGGAGCCTTCTCCAGGCTGAACATCTCTGGATGACACCCCTTCCTTCTTTGTGTCACCTGCACCATTCAGCTTTGTGTCATCTGAGAACTTGCTGAGGGTGCACTGGATCTCATGGTGTTACTGATAAAGGCATTAAAGAGCCCCAGTGCCAAGACTAGGGCTCTGAGCAACACAGGTGGTCACTGGCCTCCACCTGGATGTAAACAATTGACTACAATCCTCCTTGGCCATGCAGCCAATTTCTTATTAATTAAATAGTCCACACTTCAAATCCATGTCTCTCCAGTTCAGTGATGAGGATGTGTGGGACTCTGTCACAGGCTCTTGTCAGAAGTCTGTGTAGATGACATCTGTCAGCCTTGCTCTGTTGATTGTTGCAGTCACTCCATGATAAAAGGCTACCAGATGGGTCAGACAGGATTTGCCCTTAGTGAAGTCTTTCTGGCTGTCTTGGATGACTTGTCATGGGCATGTGTGTTTGGCAGAAAAATATTCCCATTTTCTACATTTCAGAAAGACTCAAACTTATCTGTGACTTCCTCTAGCTAAACTTGCCTAAGAAACACTAAGTTTAAGAGTGAAGTTGTTTGTTGGTTTGCTTTGTTGTTTTTTTTTAAAGTAGGTATCATAAACGATAGGAGAAACCCTCAGAAAGTGAAACATAACTTCTTTTCATCATGAGTCTGGATTTGTGACGTGATAATGCAATAACATTAAGTATGGACTTACTTGCAAACAAACCAAAATAATTGGATCATGAATTTAGAGGCTGTTCTGCCTGCTTAGAATTTGTGTGTATAAGTGAAGGAGAGCCAAATGTTTAATGGTGGAATACCTTTGCTTTTAATTGGGAAGCCTGAATTTAGGTTGCTTGCAAAAGAGTCAGTTTATTTTATTTTCAACATGCATACAGAAAACTGGTAGCTGCTCAGCTGGATCCTTTGGAGAGTGAGATGAGATTTGTTAGTGTTTCTGGTCTGTGTATCTTGAAGACTGAGTGACTCAAATCTTCAACCTACCTTAATGTATCTTCATATGTCAGTGCACAGTGTCAGCTGCATGGAAAAACATTACAACGGAGAAAGTAATACTAACCTGGTAATTTTATCATAGTAGAAGGTAGTTTTGTTGCACTGTGAAATAGTGATAATCTGTGAAAAGACACATTATCAGAAATTAATTGGCAAACTTGCTGGAATTTGAGGTTTGCCTTGTTTAGTATGCAAAAGTAGTAACTGAGATGAGTTTCTAAAAATTAGAACCTAGAATGCTCTCTTTTTCCTTATCTACTGAAGTACCATATTCTTAATGTGGGATGTTATTTTAGCCTCGTTTTGGTCCAACAAATTTCATGATTCTAGATAAAAAAGGAACAGATGCAATTAGGGATTTTAAATGTCTCTTCCTCAGCTGTATTTCCTAGCTTAGTAGATACCTTGATCTCCAATAAAAAAATCTACCTATCTCCAAAAGTCACCTAAGGACAATGAATTGAGGTCTTCTGCATCCTTGAGTGTATTCTCAAAGAACATCTTTGAGTGTAAAAACAAAGAACTTTGAAGGTCATTCTTAGGACTTTTCAACAGCTGGGTCTTGAAAGGAGTGATCTACTCTAGAAAATCTGTGTTTGAGTTAGATCTGCTGTGGCCGTGAATCCTAAATGGAGCAAGCGTTTACAAAGAATTGCTTTGTGGGTGTTGAGAATGATAAGCTCAGATCTTGAGCTCCATTTTTATAGGAACTGAGATTTTCAAGAAAGGAGTAGTGATTCTTTGAACAAGATAGAATACAGCTGTAGTGTCAGAAATGTTCTATTTCTTCAAATACAGCTAAACATTTTTACGTGCTTTTATTGTAAGCTTGATTAAATGTTCTGGATGCAATCCTGTAGAATATGCTCTAGGGTGACCCTGCTTGAGCAAGGATGTTGGTGGACGGGGTGATTCGCTGTGGTCCCTTACAATGTGACCTATTCTGTGATTCTGTAATTTTTCACTTCAGGTAAATACACCATTTTTATTATCAGTGTATCAAAATACGGGGTTTCTTTTTTGTTCAGGAAACACAAACACTGTGTAGATTTCTCTATTTAAATATTTTTTAATATTTCAAAATACGTTTGAAATACTTTAATGTGTTTCAACGAAATATAAGTATTGACGTTTTTCGTCCATCGGGGAAGAGATCACTGCAGGTAACCAAACTCTCCACTGGATGTCACTGTCTCACACGCAAAAGCTGACTCAAAGCTTTCCTTGCGAGAGGGTTCTCTAGAGCTTTTCACCATAGGTTTATAAATTCTGCAGCATTTTGGAGTGACCTTTGGAAGCCTTGGACTGTGGCCTCTGACAACATAAACTATTGCATGCGCTCCAAGATACATCCTGATTCACTTTCAGGTGTTTCTTGAAACTCTTACTTTTTACATTAAAAAGGAGCAGTGATGAGGTACATACATATTTCCAGAGTCAGCAAGTATATATGTATTTTAAAATTTCTTAATGTATCAATCAAAGGAATAAATACCTTGTTTATTCATACCTACATTCCATGAGGAGGATACTGTTCAATTAAAAAGTAATTTAACAACAAAATATAATTACATTATTGTGTGATCAATATGCAGGAAAGTTTACTGAAGCAGTCTAGTTCACAGACTGATGGAGCTTATGCGTGTTCTCTATTTCTTTGTGATTTACCATTGCATAATGCAATATTACCACATCTGTCCTTGTTATGTGACAGCGTACAGTCATGACTGAGGTTCTCAGAAGTCACTTCAGACTTTCTCCACCACCTGGAGTGCTTTGGAGTGTTCAGAGGTTTTATGGCTTCATTTGAGAAGGTCTGTGTGTTCTCCACTTGATGTCCTCATTTGTGTACCAGGTTTTGAGCCTGGTGCTTTTTATCTTTGCAATTCATCAGAGTTCTACTTTACACACACCACCTGTTGTGGAATATGGATTTACAGTTTTAATGGACTTTCTACAGCTTCCTCACAGCAT